AGTCCACAAAGGCCGTTCTTGGCCAGCGCAGCCTTAGCGGAGTAGTCGTTTCCTGAGAGCCGTATTTCCGCCTTGCTAGAAAACTTCCCTTTCCCAAGTCAACTCCCCAGCCCTCGCTGCACTCTCGTGCGTGCCCAGGATGCGGGGCGGGGACTGAAGAGCTATCAGGGCTACGCGGCTCTTGTCCCTTGAGCTAGCTTTGTCCACAAAGGCCGTTCTTGGCCAGCGCAGCCTTAGCGGAGTAGTCGTTTCCTGAGAGCCGTATTTCCGCCTTGCTAGAAAACTTCCCTTTCCCAAGTCAACTCCCCAGCCCTCGCTGCACTCTCGTGCGTGCCCAGGATGCGGGGCGGGGACTGAAGAGCTATCAGGGCTACGCGGCTCTTGTCCCTTGAGCTAGCTTTGATCTAGCTACATCAAAGCGAGCTGGGGCATGTGGTCTGCTCACTGCGCTCCCCCACGAAGCAGACAGCTCAGCCCACACATGGCGAAACGAACCCCGCTAGTGACGTAGGCCTTTGTGAAGGGCTTTGAGATCTGCTGGTTAAATGCCCTAGATAAGGGGTAGCCTGATTGTGATGTCTTTACAGCCAGTCGATCGGGATCTACCGGGAAATCTCAGAGCCTCTGACAGGATCCTGACTGGTTTGGCCAAGAGGCTGTCAAGTGCTGGCACTTAGCTGCCCCTCTGCTGTGCATCTCCTTCCCTTTTCCTTGCAGCTGCCCCTCCTGCTTTCTGGGCTGGGCTGGGCTGGGCAGGGGAGGGGTGCTGATGTCCCACCCACTCTGTATCCTTTCCCCACAGAGCAGAGACGGGGGGTACAATAGGACTTGGGAGGGAGTTTGCTGGCTACTTTTGGGAGTGGCGCAGGGCCAGCGCAGGGGTGAGCCTGACTTAGCCCCACTGCCCCACCACCCAGGAGCCACCTGAGGTCAGCAGGGCCCAGCTGGAGCCCACACCCTGAAACCCCACCCCAGTCACGAACCCCCTCCTGTATCCCAAGGCCCTGCTCCAGCCCCGAGCATCCCTGCATCCAAACTCCCTCCCAGATCCTGCACTTAGAACCCCCTCCAGTACCCCAAGAGCAGCTCACACTCCAGATCCCTCAATCCAAGACCAGTCTGCACCCCAACCCTCTGCCCAGCCTGATGAAAGTGAGGGCGGATGGGCAAGAGAGGGAAGATGGAGTGAGCAGGGGCGGAGCCTTGGAGAAGGGGGCGGGGCAAGGGTATTTATATCTGAGGTAGATCTTAGATTGCACTTAAACTCAAAAAGCGATCTTGTGCTTAAAAAGATTGGAGACCCCTGATTTACACGCACGTTACAGGACACTCTTCCTCGGCAATATGTGCCCAGAGGCAGACTTGTACTGGAGTAATTAAGGCCAGGTTAACTGGGTAAGTTCGAATTAAGATACCAGCTCCCGCTACCTTAGTTGCATAGCTGGAGCGGACATAACTTGATTTGAACCTCGTGAGGAGTCGGAGTACCGGCACCAATGGTGGTGCCTTCGGCATTTGATTTAGCAGGTCCTTACTAGACCTGCTGAATCAAATGGCAGAAGATCGATCTCCTGAGCTGCAATCCATGGATAAGCATAGACGTGGCCTTAAAGCAGGGGTGTGATTATTTTGGTCCCCCTTTCCCACGTAGACATATCATAGCTGGTTGGACTTTTCTGGATTGTCACAGCTGTGAACCAACCGAAGAGGCACACAAGTGAACTGGGAATCCCAGAAGACCTACCCCGGAGGTGCATGCCCCAGCCCTCTGTTGTGCCAAGCGCTGTGTATTTGCAAGGACAGTGCCCGTTTGTGCCCCCAGACACAGTGGGAAACAGCAGGCGGTTTCCTTGCTCACAATTTCCACACCTGCCGGCTTTCTGTCTCTCTCGCACACCGATTCTCTGTGTGAAGCCAGTCTCAGGGAATTCCCTCCATCTCCCTGGCTTAGTTCTTGCTCAGAGCTTCCCCCCCCCTTCTCCCTTTGGGCAATGACTTCTACATTTTCCTGTTCTCACTGGGCAAAAGAAACTTAGTTGCTTCTTCCATTCAGCCTGAAAGAAGGGCGCTTCCTGTGCCGATCCACTTTGGGCAGCTGTCTCTAGATTAAAAAATTGCTCGATAACAGCCACCTTTCCCCTTCCTGCCTAACCAGGTGAACTTGTTAACAACTGTACTTTAAAAGCCAACGTAGCTGCGCTCTTCCTTTCCAACCCCACAGCAAGGAGAGCAACAGCCAAGCAAAACCCACCCCATTGTGGCTCACCACAGACCCCCACCCGCGAAAGGGTTAACTTTCATTTCCTTCATTACGGCCTTTTGGGTTTGTCATCCCGTTCTCTAACGAGGCTGATGGAATTTAAAGGGGAGCATCTTAAAACTCAGCTCCAGCATTTAAGCTTTGTTTTTATAAAAAAATGGTTCTATGATTCACTCAAAGCCGAGTGGTGTTACAGCTTGGATATTATGTCAATTTGCCAACCTGACATCTTCAAAGAGCATGAGTATAGCTCCCTCCCCCCCAAATTTAAAAAAAAATCTTATGGTTCTGTAGCCAAATTGAGAGCGACCTCAGTTTCTCCATCTATAAAATAGGGACAATTATAGCAGCCTCCTTTGCAAAGTGCTGTGAGATCAACAAATGAGACAGGCTATATAAGAACAAAGTTTTATTGGCAATGAGCTGGGTTTTGATCTGAGTCATGAAATTACTCGGTCATGCTTTCAGGCTGGTCTCTGCCATCAAGACATCGAGAAGCCTTTTCTTTTTTTAAAACAGAAACCAGCCAGCCATCCCCACCTAGAGCACAAACAGCAAGACAGGTTGGATTCTGGAGTTTCCTTTTTAATTCTCTAAAAATGACTGGGAATACAGGGTGAGAAAGAAAATTAAGGACTAATTGTAAAGTCCGCATATGCTGTTTACAAATGAAAAGGAGATTGGACACTCTTCAGGGGTAGGGGAGTGTGTGTGTTTCCTGGCTGCTATGACACCACCAATATTACCAACAGGAAACACTACCTTTTGAGAGGTAGCCATCTCCCGTGGGCGTTTCTAGAGCGCCTCTCTCAGGGATAGTCACCTAGGAGCCCGTATTGCTAATCCAAAGTCCTCCATCAGGCTCTCAAAAACCATGACACCGATTGAAAAAATGGTTCTCTTCTTTGTTTGGGGGGGGGGGGGGGGGGGTGTCTTTTCCTTGGCCTCCAGCTCCCTGCCGCTTTCGGAGGGGACCCACTTCAGCCTCCCGACTTTCTCCACAAATCGGGCTGGAAAGGCAATATTTAAACAAACGAAAGCAGAGTCTCCTGCCATCGCTTGATTTCTGCGACTGGGGGATGGGACGCGGGGAGGCTGCCATGTTGAGAAAAACACTGTCGTGACACCCGTCTCATAGACAACACCTGCCCAGGGTTGAACAGGAGCTGCCTGCTGGGCCAAGCGATTCATGCACTAGGGGCACACAACCGGCTGTGCACCTGTGTTACCACGTATGAGCGAGCTGTGGGAATGAAGGCCAGGCTCCAAAGAAAGTTTAGGGGTGAAACAGAGATTCTAGCAGACCCTTTTCTGTCTGCTTGGAGCTGTGTGCATATGGGGAGAAGATGCAGAGATCTATGTAGACAGGTAATAGTCGGAGGCATCAGCCGGAGTCAATAGTTCATGAGTTGTATCTGAAACACACTATGTGCATTTATAGTTAGTACACCCCCCCCTACACACACACACCCCATCCAGTGTGCTGTGTCATTCAACTGTTTGTAGGGCCCGTAACGTTGTGCACGAAAAATGATCCAGTTCCCAGAATCAGAGAATACAACAGTACGGGGGAGGGAAGAAAGGCCCACGAATAACCTGGGAATTTCAGCAAGCAGGGTTGGTGACAGACTCCGACCACCACCAGCCCCCTGGTTATTTTCAAAGCTCTCTCCGCAATGGAAAAGGCTCGACACGCCTGGCTCAGAGAGACGCAAAAGCGGAGCACAGCCCCGAGCACCAAAAGCAGCCCCATTTCTACTCTCTGCCTGACCCAGACAGATTTGACAGCCTCAAGATTTCCCTGCAAACGATCCGATCCCCAACCACTCCGCCCCGTGAAAGGCACCCACCAGCATGAAGAATTCACTGGGAACAACTGGATCGCACACTAGCAACACCCCCCCCCCCCCACCAAAGTGTTTTTCCAACAGCAGAAATCTCGCCGTTCTCATTTGATGTGCCTCAGACTTTCAAAACATTCCCCTGCTGTCAGGAGGCCCATGAGACATTTTGGGAGAACAGTTTTTTTTTTTTTAACAAAAGAAACCGGGAGGTGGTTCAGTTGTGGGCGGTGATGAAAAATTCCGATCGGCCTGAATCCTTGGAGCTCCGTAATGTTTAATCTGGTCAACAAGCACCTCAATTTTACAGCCACCAGTACAGTATCTTAATCTTTATTGCCTTGGGATTCTGTTGACTCTGAAATCACTGCGGGGAAGCGCATACGCGGCTCAGACAAACACCCTCAACCTCAGGCAAACTGCCAGGCGGGCCTGTCTCGCCCTTTGTCTCGGAACAACTCGAGCTAAAACCTCCCCCGGGTGTGAGTTTTCTAACCAGTCCTCTTCAGCCGCAGACCCTCTGTTTTGTTCAGTCCCCCTTCCAAACTGAACTGGTTTAGGTCCCAAAGACGGCGCAAGCGCACACAGGGAAGGAGGAAACCCACGAACGTCAACAACTCCCGGAAATGTCTTGGAACAGCGTAAATAAACCTTGCGGACAGTATTGTCCTGTCTGAGGTGGGTGGGGTTGCGGCGGTACCAGAGAAGAGCTAGCTACTATTTAAAGCACCAGGGAAAAGGTTTCAGTCGCATTCGGCACGATTCGGCCCCTTTTCTGCGGATCCAATGCCAGCGTGTACTGCTCCAGGTCATTCGGTTTTCTGCTGCCTCTGCTATTATCAACTCTGCAGGCAACGATGGACACACACGAACACATCTCTTCCTTTGGCCAACTGTTAATGATTAATGGCCAATGTCAAGCAAAAGGGCGGTTACGCGCAGTCTGCATTCACAGGGAGACACAGAGCTTTGGAAAAGCAACAGGGGGTTAAGAGGCGGAAGATCTTGTGGCCTTGCTCACACGTTCGCTGGCAGTTGGTAAAGGCTTGGCCTGGAGTCGGCCAGCTGCTCATAAGGAGGCAGCACTTTTCCCCACAGGCAATTAAATGTGGCATGCTTGCAGTGGGGACGGTGGGAGGGACGTGAGCGCTAATGCGGTGTAGGCGCGTGGGTGCGGACAAGAGCTAGTAGGGATTTCAGGTGCCTAACTCGAGGAGATCTGAACCAGCCATCAGGTGGGACGAGAGGCAGGCAGATCGCATTTAACCCTGCGCCTGGCCCTCAGCCCACGCGCCCAGATCCCTCGCGGCTTACTCACGCGCCCAGATCCCTCGCGGCTTACTCACGCGCCCAGATCCCTCGCGGCTTACTCACGCGCCCAGATCCCTCGCGGCTTACTCACGCGCCCAGATCCCTCGCGGCTTACTCACGCGCCCAGATCCCTCGCGGCTTACTCACGCGCCCAGATCCCTCGCGGCTTACTCACGCGCCCAGATACTGAGGCCCTCAGTGATGGCAGCAACCGGCACTAACCAGAACAGCTATCCGCTCGTGCTCTGCGCATGCACCCTGCCTGGGCCTGGGCAAAGCAGGGCACGGGGGCTGCACAGGGGGGTGATGGTGGAATCTCCACCTACAAGCTCAGCCCCCCTCATGCTCACGCTTCACCCAGTGGAGCCTCTGACTGCAATCCTAGGAGATCCATGCTCTCCGGACAATTAAAATTAGTATATAATGAACAATTAAAACGTATTTATCAACAGTCATGTTTGTAACAACAGCCAATTACTATAATTCAAATATTAGAGAAAGTTTTTTTGATCCATCCCCATTTTGTTTACTTTGTGCACCTGACAGCATTTTTTTTTAAGTGAGTAGATTCAATCTCCACTATTAGGGTGAGTCTTAAAGGAAAAAAGGAGAACTCCTTTAACAGTAGGAAAATCAACAGTAAAACAGAAAATCAGCAGGGAGAATTCAGCGGTAGATGCAGTTATCAAAACACTTTTAACTCAATGAACTGAAATGTCAATTACAAATAGTGTGTCCACTTAACAATTATGTTGTGCAAGCTAATTCACTGTCCCAAAATTCTGTCCTGCAAGATAACACAAAAAAGAAACAGACCTGCCAAGTCAAAAAGATGTCATGTAATATTATACTTTTCAGCAGTAAAAAGATAAGAGCCAAATATGTTCTGGCTTTGTGAAGCCAGGACTTAAACACACCTCCATGGAGATTCTACCACCTCCCTAGGTAACCCATTCCAGTGCTTCACCCCTCTCCTAGTAAAATAGTTTTTCCTAATATCTAACCTAGACCTCCCCCACTGCAACTTGAGACCACTGCTCCTCATTCTTCCATCTGTCACCACTGAGAACAGCCTCTCTCCATCCTCTTTGGAACCTTCCATCAGGTATTTCAAGGCTGCTATCAAATCCCCCACTGAATCTTCTCTTCTGCAGACTAAACAAGTTCAAATCCCTCAGCTTCTCCTCATACTTCACGTGTTCCAGCCCCCTAATATTTTTGTTGCCCTCTGCTGGATTTTCTCCATTGCATCCATATCCTTTCTGTAATGGGGGGGAGGGGGGGGAGAGAGTGGGGCCAGAATTGGATGCAGTACTCCAGATGTGGCCTCACTAGTGCTGAATAAAGGAAAATAATCACTTTTCTTGATCTGCTGGCAATGCTCCTCCTAATGCATCCCAATATGTTCTTTGTGTTTTTAAAATCCTTTTACCACACGCAGCAACGTTCCTTAGGACAAATCCAGGGGAGGGCGGAGGATTTCAGCTGGGGTGGGGCTCAGGGAGGATGGACAGGCAGTGATGCCCTCTCTGAAAAGTGCAGACGTGGGGCAGGACGAGGCAAATAACATCGCAATATTGATGTTACCAAACCAGGCCGTAGCCCCCAAGCGAGAGTTACATTCAAGGGGCGTTTCAATCGTCTGTACGCCGCGTATTGAGAATATTAAAAATAAATTAACCCCAGGGCCCCTAACAACAGTTCCCACAGATACAGGCCCCGTCCTAGGAGCACCTCTCGCCGTACTGGATCCAGGATACGCACAGAAGTAGGGCAGCCACCTCCCCCTGCGTAGGCAGCCAGGGTGGAGTGGGGTGGTGGCACCTCTGCATATATAAGGCTACGAACTTCTCCACCCAGGCGACGTTGGCTCCTTACCACTGGATCTGAGCACCCCACCCTCCTTAAGGGAGTGGTTTGTTTTCCTCACACCAGGCCTGTGAGGCAGGGGAGGGTTCTGTCCATTATACAGCTGGTGAAACTGAGGCTGAAAGCAGATTAACTATCTTGCCTGAGATCGGCCTAGAACTCCTCAGTGTGCTCTCTGGCCGTGCATCCTTCGGACTCCTTTCAACACCAACCACGGGACACAAGACCGCTGCCTTTTGCAAGAGAAATCGATCGGCAGAACGATACCGGTTTAGTTATAGAATCGTAGAATAATAGGACTGGAAGGGACCTCGAGAGGTCATCGAGTCCAGCCCCCCGCCCTCAAGGCAGGACCAAGCTCCGTCTACACCATCCCTGACAGATGTCTATCTAACCTGTTCTTAAATATCTCCAGAGAGGGAGATTCCACCACCTCCCTTGGCAATTTATTCCAATATTTGACCACCCTGACAGTTAGGAATTTTTTCCTAATGTCCAATCTAAACCTCCCCTGCTGCACTTTAAGCCCATTACTCCTTGTCCTGTCCTCAGGAACCAAGAGGAACAAATTTTCTCCTTCCTCCTTGTGACACCCTTTTAGATATTTGAAAACCGCTATCATGTCCCCCCTTAATCTTCTTTTTTCCAAACTAAAAATGTCACAACGGCCACCGTCCAGATATGCCGGGCTGGTCTGCGCTAGGGATGTAAGAGTGTAGTCGATTAACCAATAAGAAAAGGCTGATCGGTTAATGCTATAGACGACACACGTCTCCCTCCTCCCTTGGGAGTACATTCTTTAGCAGGCTGGCCAGCAGCTCAGCTCAGTCCTGGCTTGCACGGGGACCAAGACCTACCCCTGCTGCAGCTCTGCATTTAAAGTGTATTAGGAGCCAGGCAGGCAGCCTGGCTCAGTTCCAGTTTGCACCAGGTCTGGAAGCTCAGGACCCCCCCTCCCAGACAGGGACTGCTGGTATCCTGCACTGCTGCCTCTTTTTCAGAGACCACAGCACAGGGCAAAAAGCAGCTGGTCCGCAAGAGGAGCTGGTTTTTAAACGGGCTCCCCTTGCAGCTGCCAGCCCTGCCCCCGGAGACTATCGAACAGTCGACTAACCAATAAGAATTCATGAGATGACTCGACTTTTCAATTTCTGATAAGAATTCATGAGGTTAAGCGATTATTCGATTAACCGATATTTAACATCCCGAGTCTACATGGTGAACCTGGATACACCGGTCTAATTCTGCCAGTGTCGCCATGGAGACTTGCCTCAAGTGAATTTTTAAATGGCTTTAGGTAAGTGGGACAGTTTCACTGTACGGACAAGGATCAGCTCTTGGTTATTCAGTGCCCTGTCAGTCACAGCTCATTTGAATACAAAGGTGGGAAAACAACGTTTGAGCTCGCAAGGTGCTGATCAGTTCATACCTTGCCCAGGCCTGTGGCCTATTTAGCGAGAGGAGGGCAGCCAGTGAGGAACAGATCACTCCCCGGGGACCTGCTCTTTCGGCGCGATTCCCGGGGGTTCTCATCTGTCCTCAGTTCCCGACAGACGCAGAAATTCCTTTTGCGTCTCCGCTGTAGGCCAGAAACTCATGGGGCTGTGGCGCAGCTGGGCTGGGAAGGGCCACGTGTTTCAGTCACCACAAAACGGCCTGCAAAGAGCGTGCGGCCTCTCACACCTCCTCTCCTGGCTTCTTCAGCTGGGAGCGGGAAGGCCTGAAAAGTTAAACTGTGTCTGCTTATTTGTAACGGGAGACGCACAAAGTCTTTCCCTCCTTCTCTGGTTTTGGCGGTGGGCTTGTCAGACGCCGGGTGCGTGGGTGGGTTTCCCTCAGCGTCCCATTCAAAGGGCAGAGACGCTACCATTGCCACAGAACAGCTCATCGAAGTGCTGGTCGGGCATGCGCGGGACAGAGGGGTCAGACATTTTGAAAGAACAACCTTGACTCAAAACCTCTTCCCCTCTCAATTGTTAAGGCGTTTCTCACTGCTGCTCTCTGACCAGTTCTCCAGTCCTCCTCAGAGCCATCCTGCATAACAGGGAAGTTGATTTAAAACCCTCTTTTCGGGGGGGAATCTTTCAGGCCCTATTACTTCTCTGGTACACTTTTCCTGAAAGTCACCTTTAAGTCTCTCCTACTGATGTAACATCCTGGTTAATCAGTTAACCAGTTAAACCTTAACTGATTAAGCAGGGTCCCGCTGCCACCCTTCCCCTCTGTGCTGGGGGGCTGGCTTCTGCTCCTATACCCACCCCCCACGGGGGAAAGCAGCAGAAGTCTGCAGTCCAGTGCATGGGGGGAAGGCCCAGCTTCCAGTGCATGGGGGGGGCAGGTCCCTGCTTCCCCTGGGGGGCTGGAGCTGCCCTGCACCCGTAGGGGGCTGTTCCCAGGTAGCCAGTTCACCGTTCACATCCTTAGTCCCACCTGTGGCCACCCCAACATTAATTACCTCGGGCCACGATGATACATCACCACCTTAGCCTCCCCTTGGTTTGGTCCTCCAAAGAACCGGACCCGCCAATTGTGGGAGGAATTCCAAGCTAAGGATGTTACATTTCGATGAATCAACTAATCGAGTGGATGGAATTTCCATCGACGACTGGATCGGGGGGATGCTCGCTGTCCCGCTGCTCTCTCCCGTTGCCACGTCCACGGCTCTTGTACATTTCAAAGGAGGTGGCGCAGCAGTGGCGAC